TGTATGTAGCCTATGTATCACACTCATATCACATCTTGTTTTGGATAAGAATAAAACGTCAGGTCCGATGTCAATATCGTGTCTTTTTTTATTTAAATCTAGCTTTATTCGCATTGGCCCATGCATGGAAACCTCTTTGAACACACTTGATTTGGCTAAAAAATCGCGGGGGACGAATTTATGTTTTATTAAAAAGTGTTTATGTATTCTACACTCATGGCGTGCGCACACGTTAGGACAGGTTAGATGCCTGCCTCCGCTGCGAGTCCCTATCAAGCACTTTACAGATTCAACTACTCTTTTCTCTTCCTCCTGCCTGGCTCTTTGGCCCGCATCACTCACCGCAGAGCAAGCATGTTCTTGATAAATCTGCTGTGAAAACGTGGGAAAAGCCAACGAGGAAGAAGTTGGGGTGAAGCGATCTTTATATAGGCGGAGCAAAATACTTAATCGCTCCATCTATAGCGCATTGTGATTGGATGTTTACACTGTCAATACAGGAGACAAACCAATGGCCCACTGGCTTCTCGCTGTCCCTGCGTGATGGTCCTCGGCAAAAAAACTTCTGTCGGCCCCTTAAGTGCGTCGGCCCACCGGGGAAAATGCTCGGTATGCCCGATTACCAATCCAGCCCTGACTGGGACTCATTCTGACTGTTTTAGGGTATGGCGTTATGGACTCTATGCTTTTAACAGCCTGAGGTTTCCTGTTTTTATTGTATTGTTTTAAGTCTAATGTGAATATTGTAAATACACATTTGATTTTCACTTTAAAATTGTCGGAACCACACACAGTATAATCTGACCTCATTTTAATTCATGTATATTCGACCGATAGGGCCAAACGTTACAGTCTTTCTGACTGTTCCAGGTGTGATGAACAAATACAATACAATATAATACAAATACAATAATTCCTCATAACGTTACCCTGATATTTTCAACCATACTCTGATTTGACAGTCCTCATTTTAAAGTCACAAAGCTTTAACATTATGAAACCAAAGTGCAAATGTTAATATTTAGTAATAAATAAATACATTCACATATACATTCATACATGCATGAAAGAATGAATAATAGACATACTGAAAGTTATTTCTGCAGAAATTCCTTTTGGTTATCTTTTGTCAATGAAGCCCAGTGACAGTGCGACTTTGTCTTGTTTTCCTGCCTATTATCCAAATGTAGAGATTTTAATTAAATTTTTCTATATATTTTAATCATGCAACTGAATTAAGTTGTTTTCAAGTTGGTTTACCATCCTAAGTCAATTAATAACTGTTAGGCTTATTTATAACAATACTTGGAAAAAAGCTAGAATTGAGTCCACATTATACAGTTGCAGCATAATGAGCAATGGGTGTTCATGTCAGTGTGTGTATATGCTTGTGTAGGCGTTTGACATTTAATCATGCTATGATGCCAACTTTTGATATGCAAATTTTCTGACCTACAAAACAAATAATAAAGCATTTCATTACACTTTGAACCTGCATCAAATAGCCAGCCATGACATCTTGTTTTATTCTTTCAGGCTGCTATTGTATATGCTGCAAGTGGATGCCTTTTTACACGCAATTTACAAAGTAATGGCAGAAGGAATGGATCCTAGATTTTACTAATGCTCTGACATCAGCCTATTTCTAAATGTCACATGCAGAAAAACAAATAAAGTATAAAAACACACACAAAAAAATTAGATATTGTTTTCAAGGTTATATAACTATTGTTACATATAGTTCTACTTCATTATGCCAGACTTAACCATAGTAGAAATGTATCGCTCATGTACGATACACAGAATCTCGCATTGATCCATTCACACGGCCTGATCTAAAGAATGAAAACTGGTTTACCAGTGTGTGGTGTGGTTGCCATGGTGACAGTGGATCCCTTGAAGCTACAAAAGTTATTGATTTCTTCTTTTTTATTCTGTTCTTTGATTAATAAACATCACAGCAGCTGGGTTATTAGGTTATTTGGCTGCTATTACTTTAAGAGCTGCCACTGCTCAATGTGACGCGTATCTGAAACGCATGCTCATAGTTTCATTCGCGTGTTAAAATTAAATGATACAAGGTGTGTTCGACTTGAACCACGGCTACAGACGGCGGTCAACGAGATTAGCCGAGAGCAGTGGGGGGCGGAGTTGAAAATGGACACGTCAAGTTAGACACTTTCTGCTCCCCGTAGTGATGCCTGTACGTTGCTTGCATACTGTGTCACAGATGAAGTGAATTAAATGCAATATTTGTTAAATACACAGACATTTCAGAAACTTTTTCATGAGCAACAGAAACACTTTTTTTATATACTGCTTAATACAGCACCATCTGTTCAAGAATAAAGAATAATAAACATATACTATTTAAATTCCAATAAAGTGGGGGATATATGCTTTTATCAGTGTTTTATGCTAAACGTGACTCAGTATGACAATGCGACTACAGTAAAAAAGCTTTTGCTGTTCTAAAAACACAGATTTGTGAGCATTATTGGAATTGAGGATGCTGCGTTCATGCCATGTCGTAATTATCGTAATTCCTAGATGACAGCACCTAACGTTCAACTCGGTGCTGTTCACATCCTCGGACTGGGGATTATCTGTTTCTATAATGACAGAATGAACCCATGTGAAAGAATGTTAATGGAAGCTGTAAAACACAATACAATTAACAGTTGCTATGCAAATGCAGTATTATTACACTTTATAATTATTTCTTTAGGTTGTTATTACATGTATAGCCTATCTAACTCTGTGCTGCATGTCTTTCGTTTATATTCACATTACTTTTATATAAAGACATCTTCATTGGCAAAAGTCAATTACACAAATTTTAAAACACAAAAAATAACTGCTTAATTACATTTTACTACTGGAAGTGCCACCAATTTTCTCTGGTTCTGTGTGAGGTGCAGCGGTCACATGGTGCAAGCCGTAGCTCTCAGAAAACTCCCAGTTCACAAGTTGCAATTATGAGTTCTACGAGGACGTGAACGCGTTTTTCAAGTTGGTATCTCGTAATTATGGAAATTACGATTTGGCGTGAATGCACCTTTAGAATAAACCTGAAACACACGTGATCATTGTCATGTGGTGAATCTGGCCAATCGTGAAATAGCTGTGTTGTCTTCAAAGCTCCTGCAGCCGCTCTGGAAAAACTGCGCCGGCTGAGTCACCCTTCGAAATCCTTCATTCCAAAGGGCCCTTTGAAGTGGCCAGTTTCGTCTCCATCGTCTTCAGTCCTGTTACAGACCTCTAGTATTCAGACAACAGTACTTCAGGACCCTTGCCAGGCTCCTGCCCTGGCTACAGACGTCCAGTAGTTGCTAAGGAAGAGGGCAATAGAACTTGTAGGTACTTGGGGCTTCCATTCAAAATACTTTCTTGTTCAGAAAAAGAATGGGAGTTTCTGCATGCTAGGTGTGGTATATGTACTGGGTGCTATCAAACCTGGCATGTGGTTTATCATTACTATAGACTTAAAGGATGCATATTTTTACATTCTAATTGCATTCCAGTACAGACTATTTCTTCACATTCCAGGACAGAACACACCACTACTGCATTTCTGCTTTTGGACTGTCTCTCTCCTTAAGTGTGTTCATGCGGTGTATTGAGGTAGCATTGGATCTATCGCAGGAAGATGGCCTGTTGATTCTTCCATATCGGGACGACTGGCTATGTGCAGCAAGATGTTGCAGCCAAACCCACCCAGCACCTACTGAAGCATGTTGTGGTGTTAAGTGTTAGGTGTTAGGACTGAAGGTAATTCTGCAGAAAAGTCTTGTTGCCTTTCAGTTAGTTTGTTTTCTAGGTATGTACCTGGATTCCAGATCAATGATCAGACTGTAACAGGCACATAGAGGGCACATACGTCTGAAGTAGTGAATTTAGATAAAGGGGTGCAGAGCCAGTGGTGGTTTTGTAGGCAAACATTAATGCCTTGAATTTTATGCGAGCAGCCATTGGTAGCCAGTGCAAATTGATGAACAGTTTGCATTCTAGTTTGCACTTTCCCCAGGTCAGGCTGTAGCAAAATGATATTGTCCTTCAAGTCTCTGCCCTTGTTGACTCCAGTTTTTACAGGCGGTTCATTCAGAACTTTAGTCAGATCGCCTTCCCTCTGACAAGTTTTACTTTCACCAAGAAACGCTTCAGCTGGTCGCCACAGGCATTTCAAGAACTTAAGAGCTGTTTTGTTTTCACCCTCATTCTTTCTAATTCCCTTTGTGTCAATTTGTGGTGAAGGTTGATGCATCAGAGGTGGGGGGCCATTTTGCCCCAGAGCTCTTGTTCTGATGGGAAAATGCACAGCTGTGCTTTTTTTCTTCACCAGCTTTCCCCAGTGGAACAGAAATACAATATCGGTAATTACTGGCAGTCAGGTTGGCATTGGGAGAGTAGTACCACTGGTTGGAGGGCTCAGGGATACCAGTCATTTGGATGGATCATAATAACCTTGAATAAGATGCTTGACATAACCGTATCTGGTGGTCTTCCACTATTAATAGAACCACTGTTACACCAATAGCTAGTAGTATATATCTTGTTGCTGTGAATTGGTGGAATCAACATCAATGTAATACATAAACATTTTATAGAAAACCCTACTTCTTGATAATATGTTGCTCTGTTTGTTTGAGTGTCCTGACTTTTTCACTGGTTTGCTATTTACCATTGAGGTGTTATTGAAATGCACTCCAAGAAAATTAGCTATTTAAGTTTAAATGCTTTGATATATTTTCGTTATGCTTTAAGAACTATGCCAGCATGTATATTTGATGACATAAATTTTATTGCTGTGATTATTCCACTTTATATTAGATGGCCTTAACTACTATGTACTTACATAAAAAAAATAAGTACATTGTGCTTATTGTGTTAATTTTGTAAACACTTCTGCTGCTATTGAGATGGGATACGGGTAAGGTTAGGGACAGGTTTGGTGGTATGGGTAGGTTTAAGGGTGGGTTAAGGTGTAAGGGATGGGTCAACAGTATAATTATAAATGTAATTACAGAAATTAATTACAGATGTAATTACATGCAGGTATTTTTAAAAATATAAGTACAATGTAAAAACATGCATGTACACAAAATGCATTGTATCAAATAATTAATTTCAATATAAGTACATAGTAGTTAAGGCCACCTAATATAAAGTGGGACTGACAATGCAATAATTTTTTGCAAATATTATTAAATACATATATGTTGAATGACAACATGTTGAAAAAACATTTTGTAATAGATTTAATTTATGTACTTAAAAAAATATTTTTTTAATTATATTTTTAGTATGAGACATTTCCAGAGTATAACAACTGGGGTCAATGTTACAACTAATCTGTAATTCAGATGATTCTCTAATTTGGCAACAAAAATAGTAATTCGAGTAGTAATTTAAAAACCAGTATAGTTCCCAAGTAAATGTATGTCTTCACAACTTCACATACTGCAGGTCATAAAGTTCACACTCAATGACCATGTCTTCCATCTGTTTGTCAGGGTTTATTTAAATCTGCAAGATGCAAAACAATGACTGCCAAATAACGTTATTCTATGATTTAGCATTAATTTGGATCCACCAAATGAATTTTGATAGGATAACAGATGTAGGAGTAATATTCCTGCTGGTTGGTGTTTCCATCTGGGATATCAAGCCCCACCTAGGAAGAATGACAGCAAGAGAAAAAAATCTTCACTTTCTGGGAAAATAAAGTAAACTATTAATAAACATAAAATGTTGCTGCAATCAGGGAAGCCTCTGACTCTTTTTTCCTACATAATAAATCACCTGCGCCTCAGAGCACACAGACAAAAAGCAATAACAACTGCTGTCATCTTGTGTTTGGATGCCTGATTTTTGGGAACGCAAACCTGTGAGCCAGTTCTGGGAGGTAATTATACCAAATCATTTTGACGACAGACTTTGGCTCAGGCATTTCAGACTGACTAAAACAACTGGGGTGAAATGGGATTGCTATTCTGGTTAATCCAGTTATCTAATTATATGATATGTTGTTGAGGAAAAGTCACATGAGGTTTTTTTTTTTTTTTTTTGTGCATCCAGGAATTTATTCTGTACATTTGTTATTCGTTATAGTTATGTTCATCATAGTTTATGTGCATGTTTTTTTACTGAATAAAAAAATAGCCACCTCGGTTGAGTGCATTCCTTTTTATGCACATTTTAAGATTTTATGAGCATCTTGGTGTTTTTTTATGCAATATCCCAAACCTTGTATATAAAAATATGTCAATTTAAACAGCTAATGTCAGTGAGCAGTTCTATAAATTTTTCAAAACAACAATTTCTGATTGTTGTTCACACAAAGTATTTATATGGCTTTAGAACACATTGATATTTAGCTTATGTGTTTACATAATTATGTAATTATGATATTTTTAAGGTATTTCTAGGGTGTTATTGTGTCATTTTTGAAGTTTGAACACTTTAGTCCCCATTCACTACAAAAAAGTAAGTAGCAGGTGTTTAATTCTTTGGAATTTTCTCTTTTGTGTTTCACGGAAGAAATAAAAAGTCACACGGCTTTGTCAGGATTCTTGACTGTTTGTGTGTGTTTTGCTCCCCGTGACCCAGTTTCTCCCTCTTGTTGATTGTGTTCATTTGATTCCAGGTGTGTCTCCTTAGTCCCCTCGATTAGTCCCTCGTTATCCTGTGTTTATAAGCCCCAGTCCATTCAGTTAGTGTTTGTCGGGTCTACAAGTTGTTCGTGTGTCATTCCTCATTCCTGTTGTGGAAAGACTGTTGAACACTTCTCCGCGTCCCCTGCGTTCCTTTCCGGCAGCGAATCGTGACAACATGAGAGTGAGTAGCTTAAATCAGGGCTTGAAAACGAAAAAATAAAATTCAATCGGTTCACTCGATCAATATTTTAACGTTTCTGTTCCTGCGTTCCTCTGTATTATTACCATTCCGAAACCGAGTAGAAAAAATACCGGTTAATAACGTTATTTTTTTAACTTTTTCTTAGCCAATAATAATAATAAAGTACAGCCTTTCTTTACTCAAAAAGAAAAAGAAAAAAGGGAAGAGATCTGGTATCTTAACCCGCTGCTCAATGTAGGCTGAAATACCGGTAAAGCAGAATGTTTACGAACATTATAAACACAGCTATTAGTTCCCTTCTCTCCACAACAAATCCTCTAAAGTTAAAGCGTTTAGGCTATAAATGTCAGACTCTGTTCCATGTCTCGTGTTGTGTTTTCCTCCCCCACATGCCACAATTTGATTATTTTGCCCATATTTGGTTTTTCCTGTTCCTGTCCCTATTTAGTTCATTTGATTCCAGGTGTGTCCCATTAGGGATTGTGTATTTAAAGTGTGTACTGCCCCTCGTTTCCGGTCCTCTGTTAAGTGTCATTTCGTGTTCTGTGTTTCCCATGTTCCTGTGTTCCCAACTGTGTTTATTAAATACTTTGGATTTTGCATCTCTCCTCGCTCCTTTGTTCCCGTGCTCCAAGTGTGAACCGTGACAGAACATCTGACCAAAACAGTAAGCGGCACCCCTTCTCCCGTGTTTTTGTTTTCCTGTTTTTCTCTCCACGGTATGAGGACCGCCCTGCTGTCAATCTCACCGGCCACGCCATTGTCAAGTCTGCCGGCCGCGGCTCACTCAAGCCCGCAGGCTGCTCCAAAGATAAGCCCGCCGGCCACGGCTCCCTCAAGCCCGCCGTTCACTCCTGAGTCAAGTTCGCTGGCCGCTCTGAGGTTAAGCTGCCAGAGCTCGCTCCAGTGTCGCCTCCAGACGGCGTGTCCTCACGCCACCAAAAAATCCAATGGGGAGGAGGGGTGGGCTCTCTGGAGACCTCTAGGAGTAGGGTTACCAGACGGGAGGCCTCCAGAGCGGGGCACCATGGTGGATCTGTCAGCTCTGGGCGCCAAGCCGAAAGAGGGACCACAGGAGGCCATGGCGGGGTAGGGAACACAGGAGGCCATGGCGGGGGAGGGGAAACAGGAGGGCATGGGGGGGTAGGGAACACCGGAGGCCATGGTGGTGTGGGGACTTCAGGAGGACATAGTGGTGCAGGCAGTTCAGGAGGTCATGGTGGAGAAGCCTTCGAGGCCGCGCGGCCTTAGCCCCCGCCTCTGCCTTTTGTGTGTGTTTTGCCCCATGTGACCCAGTTGACATGACCTCATGTATTTTGTAATCATTAGTTCCAGGTGTATGTCATTAATTTTCTAATTTACTCCAGTGTTTATAAACCCTGTGTTTCCGTTAATCTGGTCTCTGCTGTTGAATTGTCTTCCTGGATGTTTGTTTCCCTGCGTTCGTTGAATTAAAGCCCATGTTGAAGTTCATCCCTCGTCTCCTCGCTCCTTCGTTCCAGTCCTCATTGTGTGGAGTGTGACAGAACAGCAGACCCGAGTAAGATGATGGCTGAGGACAAGCTGTGGGGGTTTGCAGCAGGCTGGTCGGAAGTTGGAGTGGTATGTGGAGGATTTCCTAGAGCTTGCTAACCAGCTGAGCTGGCACGACGCCGCTCTTGGTGTGTGCTTTCAGCTGGGACTAGATGGCGAGACGATCCGCTGCGATCTTCCTGTGTGTAATTATCCTCTGATCGAGCTGATTAATCTTGTTCTTTATTTAAACGGTTCCAATGATGAAGTTGAAAAGTTTCAGTCTCATCATCCAGTCCCCTCTGAGGGACGCTATGTCTCGCCAGCTCACTCCACGCCAGGAACCCCCACATACCGCACCAATGGTTCGAACCGCCTGCTCAGCCCCAAACACCCCCGAATCCTCCGAGTGTCTGTCCTGAGGGACCTCCAGAGTGCACACCCCCCCCTCCCCGTTGGATGTCGTGTGGCGCGAGGATGTGCCTTCCGGGAGGGGGGAGTGATTTCAGACTCCGTTCCATGTTTTGTGTGTTTTGCCCCATGTGACCCAGTTTCTCCCTCATGTATTTTGGTTGACAGCTACGTGCGGGCATTTCACTCGTTGGATGCGTCAGCATCACATTTGCATAGGCCATAGCCTACTACTTGAATTTGTGATTGGTTGACAGCAAATTTCAAATATTAAATGGAACGATAAAATAACATTATTAACCGGTTAATGGCCATCTCAAATTTTCTATTCTGTTCGGAACTATAACATTTGATTTAGTTTCTGGTCCTGTTCCGGTCAATTTCGTTCGTTTTCATTCCTTGAACCGGTTCAGAGCCCTGGCTTAAATGCTAGCAGATGTAGTAACCATCTGGTATTAAAAAGCATCTTTTTCCATTGATGGCTATTCAAAAATATTTCTATATGCAGCCTTTTTTTTTTTTTTTTTTTTAAGCACTGCTCAGCCCCAAACACCCCCGAATCCTCCGAAGCTCCACGATAGTCCTCAGCCCAGAAATGCCGACCGTTCATGTAGCAAGTCCGCCGGCCGTTCATGTGGCAAGCCATCCGGGCGTTCCTCAGTCAAGCCTGCCAGCCCCAGAGCTCGCTCCAGTGTCGGCTCCAGCCCCAGAGCTCGCTCCAGTGTCGGCTCCAGCCCCAGAGCTCGCTCCAGTGTCGGCTCCAGCCCCAGAGCTCGCTCCAGTGTCGGCTCCAGCCCCAGAGCTCGCTCCAGTGTCGGCTCCAGCCCCAGAGCTCGCTCCAGTGTCGGCTCCAGCCCCAGAGCTCGCTCCAGTGTCGGCTCCAGCCCCAGAGCTCGCTCCAGTGTCGGCTCCAGCCCCAGAGCTCGCTCCAGTGTCGGCTCCAGCCCCAGAGCTCGCTCCAGTGTCGGCTCCAGCCCCAGAGCTCGCTCCAGTGTCGGCTCCAGCCCCAGAGCTCGCTCCAGTGTCGGCTCCAGCCCCAGAGCTCGCTCCAGTGTCGGCTCCAGCCCCAGAGCTCGCTCCAGTGTCGGCTCCAGCCCCAGAGCTCGCTCCAGTGTCGGCTCCAGCCCCAGAGCTCGCTCCAGTGTCGGCTCCAGCCCCAGAGCTCGCTCCAGTGTCGGCTCCAGCCCCAGAGCTCGCTCCAGTGTCGGCTCCAGCCCCAGAGCTCGCTCCAGTGTCGGCTCCAGCCCCAGAGCTCGCTCCAGTGTCGGCTCCAGCCCCAGAGCTCGCTCCAGTGTCGGCTCCAGCCCCAGAGCTCGCTCCAGTGTCGGCTCCAGCCCCAGAGCTCTCCCCGTTGGATGTCGTGTGGCGCGAGGATGTGCCTTCCGGGAGGGGGGAGTGATTTCAGACTCCGTTCCATGTTTTGTGTGTTTTGCCCCATGTGATCCAGTTTCTCCCTCATGTATTTTGGTTGACAGCTACGTGCGGGCATTTCACTCGTTGGATGCGTCAGCATCACATTTGCATAGGCCATAGCCTACTACTTGAATTTTTGATTGGTTGACAGCAAATTTCAAATATTAAATGGAACGATAAAATAACATTATTAACCGGTTAATGGCCATCTCAAATTTTCTATTCTGTTCGGAACTATAACATTTGATTTAGTTTCTGGTCCTGTTCCGGTCAATTTCGTTCGTTTTCATTCCTTGAACCGGTTCAGAGCCCTGGCTTAAATGCTAGCAGATGTAGTAACCATCTGGTATTAAAAAGCATCTTTTTCCATTGATGGCTATTCAAAAATATTTCTATATGCAGCCTTTTTTTTTTTTTTTTTTTTTTTTTTTAAGCAACATTTTAAACATTTAAGTATTTCTTATTTAATAATAGATATAAATGTTTGGGTGCGCCAATCCTTTAATCATGTGTTTCAAGAAAATGAAAAAAAATCTTACATCTGGTTTACCGGTTGCCACTGCTGGGTCGAGGTGTTTGAATAAAGAGTTGAGTTGCTGCCTTAGCTGCTTACTCTTCTTAGTGGGTTGTAGCAAAATAGCTTGGAAACTGACCGGCAGACCGTACCTAACCAACAGCAGAGCAATTGCAATGAGTTTTGTGTTTATCCATTTATATCTATGATTAATTTAATTTATTTCTTCAAGTGGACATTTTACCTGAGAACTGACTCAACGAATGTACGGAGGACCTTAATGTGAATCCAGGCCACAAAGATCTCACTGAAATTTACCTTTAGCCAGCACACAAATGTTCTCTGTTGGGACAAACTAGCTCACTGTTATCACTGATTCTTGAGACATTGAATTAAACTTTTACTGGCCATTAATTTTGATGATCAAAATCATCATCATCATCATCTCTCTTAATCAGAGATGATCACTAGAATGTTCTCAACACAATTAGTTTTCTCTTTTTGTTTTTCAATTTAGTCTCTCACTATCCCCAAAAAATCATCTCACTAGCCCATCCTCATATCTATATTTCATGTTGGTTAAAAATATATATTAAACTTCAGACAAACAGAAATATTGGTATGTACATTTACTACTATGTCCTGTGAGAATGAAAAGGTTAACATTATAAGGTTTCATGCCTACTTTTTTGCCAACACTCTCAGATATTGAAATTAAGGATAGCATTAAATCAAGTAATATAACAGTCTGTCTTTACAATGAAGATATTTTTCCATATTTCACCTGTTATAAGGTCAATTAGTAGCTAGTAACAATGACAACAATAAATTGCATGCATGCATTTAACACATAAAATGGGAAATATGGAATTTTTAACAATTTTCTGTACTGACGAATCGTGGCTGAAAATGGGGTTTGAAAACATCCAGACTCATGCCATTCTGTAGTTTACTGAATCTGTAGATCTTAAAATTCATATTATAAATATTCTATATGACAGTACACGTTTTAATCTGATGGCATTGGTGACAGACAAAAAATAAAAACTAAATAAAAAAGTGTGAAAATGGAAAAAGCAGGAGGTTGCATCCAAACACAGGTTAACATGTTGAAGAATCATTGATGCAAAATGTTTATTTGATCAGTTCTGTGCTCTGTTTTCTCTGTAACCAGTGCTTCATAAAGAACTTTAAATGAATATTGTTTAGTGTTTATATCATGAAAAATAATAGGCTCTCAGTTATTAGGATTTACTTACATACAGTTCCTTCTTATCCACAGCGAGACGGCCTATCTCCTGCTTTTGCTTCTCTGCTTCATCCAGGTTGTATTCCCGCACTGTAAACCTGTTGGCCACCACAGGAATAAGTAGTTTCTTTATTAAGCCTACTTAAGCATAGCGGCATATCAAACCTTGTTAAAAAGAAGTGCAATTAATTGCATTAAATATGCACTTGCAGTGTACTTAAAATCTTAAATGTATATAAAAAAAATGGTACACCTTCAGAAAAAAAGGTTTAAAAGCTGTCATAGGGGCGGTATACTTTAAAAAGTTATTAATATGTTCAATTTAGGTATATGTATGTACAATGTAAATACTAATATGTACCTTTAAGGCACTTTTATGCACCCTTTAGAGGTCAATAAGGTAAGTGTACCATTTTAAAAGAGAGTGTACTTGCAGATCTTGAGTGAATTTGTGGCAAATTGGTTTTCCAAGTTTTGATGTCACTCCATAGAAGTAATTATGAAATTACTTATGAAGATGTACTTCAGTCCTACTTAAGTGGCTCTCCAAAGCACTCTAAAGTTTTGTTAATTGCATTTAATATAAATTTAATATAATAAATTTTCTTTTAATTGAAATGAACATCCAAATAAATGTCCAAACACATTAAATTCAGTTTGCACTTAAGTGTATATACTTCTATGGCACTCTTTTTAAAAGTCTGCTTCTTTTTAACAAGGGCGTGTAGTTAAGATTTGAGAGTAAGCTTACTTGTGCTTTTTGGCATTGGTTTTGAATTCGGCAATGACATTCTTAAACAGGGTTACTGTGAAAATCCCTGCATCTGCATCCTCAACCAACTTCCTGTTATACAAATATAAATGTTGTTATTATGCCATGCAAAAGATTAGAGGCAAACTGAAAAATGACCATGGTTTGGTTGATATGTCTGAAACAGAGAGAAAATACACAGCCAATTAAAGCCAATGAGTTGGAAACCATCTCCCAGACTACAAGAAGACAGAAACTTGATAATACAGCTGGATTAGCCTTCTGCTCCATGGTTAAAGCAAGATATGTAAAATGAGATTAAATCTGGGCTGACAAAACAACAGCGTTCCCTCGCCAGTTTTTTCAGTGAATGTCCATGACCTTTCCAGTCGTTCATGATTATTAGATAAAGATTTCTTAATAGCATTTTATAGAGATTACGGGGGTGGATTTCCAGATATCAATGATCAATTAATCAGCGATTAATACATTTAAACAACTAAAATTACTATTTTCAGATTTTCCATGACCATGGGAACACTGAAATACAAACCACTCAACAAACATGCATGGGTACCAACCAGCTGGAACGAGGAACCACAAACTTTGACATCGACTCATACATCTTCTCCCATAGTGCATATGCCATTCTATAGAAATGATGTAATACATTCAGAAAAATTCTTGATCAGTAATACGTGAGCTAAGATCTGCTCTCAGAGTTCACACTGACCTGGGCACCACAACTAGCAGTGTTGTGAGGTACTCTGAATTCAAAACCAAGTCCTCCTTTTTCACGATATTGGTCAATGCACAGGTCTGCAAGCTTCCCCTGGTTAAGTACATCAGTAGTGATGGTTATTAAGGTTTCCTTCTCACATAAACGTCCAGGTCACATTTAAAAACTAAGAATCTCATTTTACATTTTGACAATTAGAGGGGAAATGTACGGAGCACCTAACGGGACATGTTGTGTTCCCAAGAAACTCTGCATTCGCTCTCATTTTGCAATCTTTTTGATCCCCTTTTGAAGTGGAACTTAAACACAGCATCTGGACTTGATGCTATGGGAAACACCATCAGCATGACTTGAGTCTGAGCACATGTAGCAAACATGCCAATTCATTGGGCGATGGCAGTTCATGACATCACAAGCCGGAGCGCCTGTGAGTATAAAAGGGTGCCTGCAAAACATATCATCAGGGTTTTTAGCACAGAGCATGTTCAGCTCTCGAGGGAATGGGAGGCACTCAAAGTGATTCATTCATCATGAGATGAACTGTTATTCCTTGATTCTTGTCATTGTAGCATTTTATTATTTAACTAAAAATGAACTATAGTGAGTCCTGGATAAGTGGTTTTATTCAAGTCAAGGTATGAGCTTTCTCCCCTAATTAATCTAGGGTTGCTAAAATGAAGTAGAAGCTCCCCAGCAGTGTATCTTCCCTTTACTATCGGAAGATATTGGCTAAGGGAGTGGTTCTACTAAGCAGTCTATGAGGGTTGATGCACCTTGACTCCAACTGGTTGATCTGTAGTGTCAGGATATTCTATGTCCACTATTGTCTATATTTACAGTGTAGTGAGGCAGGCACGCCATCAGCAAAGCAGAGTGGGTATTGGTTCCCCATAAAGTTAACTCCAGACGCCACATCGAAGTTCAACTTTAAAAGGGAATGTCCAAATTACGACCGTAACCATAGTTGCCTGAGAAGGGGAACAAGATGAGGTGTCTAGTTGCCATGCATTGGGTTTGCCTGCACATCTCCTTCAGACAAAAGAGTTGATGACATGTTTTGCAGGCCCACTTTTATACTCATGGGTGCTCCGTCATAAACTGCCTTCATCCAGTGAATTGGCAACTTTGCCAGTCACCAGTCATGCTAATGGCGTTCCCTATAGCATCAACTCCAGAAGCCCCAACTCGCTCTCAGGAAACATCCCGGTAAAGTATGTAACCCTTGTTCCTTGAAGGAGGGAACGGTGATGTTATGTCGACACTGAAATTTGGGGTTTCCCTTGGGAGCCCCAATCCCCTCTGAGTAGTAAAAAAACAGGCCAATCGGACATTGGCGAGTGGAATTTGCATGCCCAGCCACTCCTCCGTGCACACGGGTATATAAGGAGGCGGTATCCATCCACTCATTCAGGTTTGTTCTGAGGAGCCGAGACTGCATACCGGCCATTCAGTGGTGGGGTTCTTGATTGTGGCATGAGGGACATAACATCCGTTCCCTCCTTTAGGGAACAAGGGTTAGCTTACATATGTAACCGAGACGTTCCCTTTCAGTCAGACACATCCGATGTTGCGTTGACACTGACGTTTGGGTTCCTTATAGAAAGCGCAACAACCACTTAACTGTGTTACAAGATCTGGTGATGCAGAAGTTGGCAGGTACAACCATGCCAAGTAACAGCTGGCATTCCACATCGTAACCTACATAGCGCCCCGTTGTAAGCCAGAGGAACTTTTGTCCAGTTGAGATTGCGAAAAGCAGAACCCACAACAAGGAGGGCCACAGCCGCTATTCCTGTTTCCTACTCCTTTTTCCAACAGGAAAGAGAGATTCTGCTCTTTCACAATAGCTGTTGGTACAGACACGGCCAGATGTATTACACTAGGGAAGGGTACCCAACTCTAAATGGAGAGGGACACTACGGAGGCCACATCCTTCCCTAAGGGAGGTAGCATGTGGAGAGTACACTAATGGACTGACCGGGATGGCAGTACTACATATGGAGTTGCTGCGGTAGACTCCACCTGGAGAGTGAAGAAACTAACACAAAAACTGGACAGAAGCAACTCTGTCAAGGGGAAGATACAGGTTTACCAAAAAAAAAACATACCATGGAAGGAACGCACAATGGGTCCCCAGAAGCTCAGTACAGGGGCTGACAAACAGGCATGCAACACAAGTACTGAGCCTGGCGTTGGGCTCTTCCACCAAACCCAACAGCCAAAGGTGCTGGAGGAAACTCAACTCAGGGTTTATCAAGCTAGAAGCACGTCTGGCGAGATAGATGGCACTTGCTCCCCCCAATTGAGGGAGAATGGTGCTGTGACCAAGACACAGAGCGGGCCCCCCATTATTTACCTGTTAGTACCCAACACACGGGATGAGACTGGCTCAAGACAGAGATTGTAGAACCTCACGAAGGTGTTAGGTGTCTCCCAGCCCACAGCTCTGCAGATGTCTGCCGTGCGCCAACACCCAAGAGGAGGCAACACTCAGAGTGGAGTGAGCTCTAACTCCTAGGTGGCATGGCTTGTCTTGTGTTTGGTATGCCAAAGTGATGGAATCCACTAGCCAGTGGGCCAACCTCTGCTTGGAAACAGCCTTCTCCTTCTGCTGACCTCCAAAGCAAACAAAGAGCTGTTCAGAGCTTCTGAAGCTCTGTGTATGCTGAACGTAAGTGCAAATAGTGTGCTGACATCAGCTTACAGGAGACGCAGGTGATCCCTCCATGTGGTGGCACCCTGCAGGCATAAATGCAAGGTATTTCCACATAACCCTTGGCGGCCCCACCATCGAGGGTAGTGAGGGAATAGGAGGCAGCTTAGGACAGAGAAAGGTGCCCTTCACGACTTTGTGACCTCCTCATGCACCTCCAGGAAAATTAGCACTGAGGCGGGTTGCAGCTGCAAGTTGCACCACGCGTCTAGGCAACCGATCGTCCAGCTGAGAACACTCCAGATTGGGTGGAGGCTTCCATTCAAGCCCAATGTTCTCGACAGCCCAGGAAAGCATTGCAGACACTTCAGAGTCTGACTCTGACTTTGTAGTGCTCCAAGAAGGAGAAAGCTCATCAGAGTCCTCATCTTCTGAAGCACCTGATCCTCCTCCAGAGTCCCAAGTGAAATTGTCAGACTGCTGCGAGACAGCCCGGCAATCTCCTTCAGGAGCTTGACTGCATGCAACAAGGTCCGTGAGGACTGGCATGACAGAAGAGCTCCCACTGTAACCCTCAGATCTCCCTGAGTGCTAAGCAGCGAGAACTAATTCTTTCCAGAATTCCCGGGCTGGGGAGCAGCTGATGGGACTTCCCCCCCTCACGAGTAGGGAAAGTCGCAATCTCAACATTGCCATGGACATGTGCTCACAGTGAGGACATGAACCATCCATTAACAAAGTCTCAGCATGTTTATGGCCCAGACGCATGAGACAATGATCGTGGCTGTCAGCTAAAAAGACGCTCTTATCCGTGTAACTCTTCTAGGGAAACTGCTCTTTTGATGCCAAAGCACCCAGGGGAGAATCGCAGAATTTAATCATGCTATGACAGAAGATACACCACTGAATGCACCATAAACACAAGTGCCCAACAAAGAGAATTTCCCACAGGTGATTGGAGAAAACGAAAAGCACATACAGCAGCAACCGTTCGGCTCCAACGCAAAAATCTGAATGAGTGGATGCACGCCGCCTGCTTATATACCGGTGTGCATGGAGAAGAGGCTGGGCATGCAAATTCCACTCATCAGTGTCTCATTGGCCTGTTTTTTACTACTCAGAGGTGATTGGGGCTCCCAAGGGAAACCCCAAACATCAGTATCGACATAACTAGAGCATGACTGACTGAAAGGGAACCATGGTTACAAAAGTTTTGCGAGTGAATATCGTTTCTTAAGAGAATGCAAAAGTTTAGTGAGCAAATGCAAAAACATTGAAATATATATTTTTCCTTCCATTCCCACCTCATTATTTTCATCACAACAGTTTTGCGAGTGAACTCAAAAGTTTCTAGGGAGAACACTAAAGCATTGAAATATAATTTTTCCTGAAATCAATGCAAAAATAATTCTAAAATAGACCTCAAAATATTATGTATGTCCTCATGATATGATATTTCATGATATGAGAACTCACTCAGTTTTTCGCTCAAAGCTTTGAATACTGGCTTTCACGTGACTGTAAGCTGCCCTGCGGGATTTCAACTCGGTGTCCACCTGAGAAACTTGCTAACATACACACAAACGCACACACAACCACCCACACAGACAAACATTTATACAATAGAACAGGCATATAGAAACAAATAGTTGTAATTGTTTAAAAAGGTGTTTTATATAAGGTGTATACTTTGGAGATGATGTCAGAGAGGGTTTTCAGAGGCTGTGCAGTGGGGTATTTGGCTCTGTCCCATTGAAAACTGGTCACATATGTTGCCAAATCCACTGAAACATCAAGAAACAAGTAAATACTGTAAGCAGAACAGCGGCATGATTACAACAGCAGGCAGATAAAGTGGTTTCTCATTTACTATGCAGAATATCTCCTTTAATAATTTGTGTGGAACAATGAAACACAAACCCCAGCGTGCAGCTATTAACTGCTTAAATTATCAAGATTCAGTCAGATTTACTGAATAGAAACCTTTCACTTAGTGTGGAATCAATCTCAATGGACATCTTTTTTAAAATTGTATAATACTTCATAAAGGCCTATACTGCAAAAGAACACATTTCTAAATTGGTTTACAGTGCAGTGTTCTGTAGTTCAGTGTGCTACGCAAAATATTCTCAGCATCGAAACTCTACTTGTCGGTGACATTTCTGCTATGCAGCAGTGCACTGTTTATGTGGTCACTGTGAAAACAGGAAAATAATTTATATTCATACTGCAGTCTTTAGCGTACTTCTTGAGATCAGGGAGTTAGGTTTACCTATGCAGCTCTTGCCAGCTGGCCTCCGCTACACTCACCCCTTAAACCTCACTCCCATCTGGGTCACGGCACCAATGTAACCCCTGCAGTTCTACTCCCCGCGTTCTTGCTCCGAGCGGAATTCGAACCTGTCTTTCTGGCATGGGAGGCAGATGCGCTAAAAAGGACACTACAGACTGCAGCCTCTAACACCTGTGCTGCTCTTACCATCTGGCTTCTGTTACACTCACAATAATGCACTTACATTTATTGTACCAAAGGGTTTAATGGTGAGTTTCAGAATTGTAAAGCTTGTAAGCACATGAATGTTTATTACATAAGCTGAAGTTGTCTAAATCATATATTTGAGGTGAGACTACTTGTCCTTGTGGATGAACTTCTGGTTATTTCATTAATATTATATTAGCAGTTTTGAAAAAAATATACTTTTAATATTACAAGTGCACTTTATTTTTATTTTTTTTATTCAATTTATTTGTACAGGGACAACGCACAACAACAGTGTTGTGCCAGAGTTAGCTATAAAGCTAATTTGCATCTGCAGTCCCTGGGCAGGATGTTGTTACAAAATTACAATATTAAGTCACACATAATACAGTACACACAACACATACAATATACAATACAATATCACATCATACTCCATTAAATTACAAAACCAAGTCAATGATCACATATTTGATTTTCCTTAAGCCATACTTTAAGCGTAGTTTTAAAAATACTAAATGTTGTACACTCTCTAATATTAACAGGTATTAAATTCCATCTTTCTGCTGCTCTAACTGAAAAAGCTGATTGTCCAAAAACAGTTTTCTTAAATTTAGTTGAACAATCACCTCTAACTGATGACCTAGTCTGCCTGATATTATCCTTACAGAAAGTCACACATTGTTTAAGAGGTGGTGGTGCAAGATCATGAAATAGTTTGTACATCAAGCACACATCAGCAAATAATAAAAAATTGTCAAACGTCAATAATTTATAATTCTTAATAATATTGCAGTGATGATAACTCCTTGGCTTTTTAGCTAAGATTTTCACAGTTTGTTTATAAATAGTATATAATGGTTTTATACTTGTATGAGACCAACTTGTAGCACAATAAGATAAATGAGGAAGAATCATTGAATGCATAAAGAGTTTAGCAGCAGCCACAGGTAATTGGTGCCTAATATTCCTAAAGATCATCAAGCTTGCTCTAGTACTTTTAGAGACCTTTTTAATATGTTTTTTAAAATTTAAGTTAGAATCCATAATCATACCTAAATATTTAAAATGCTCAACA